ATATATATATATATATATATATATCCTTGAACATTATTGGGGGAAATGTGAAATGTTACACAGTCTTCCTAAAAAGCAACCGGGTAATCGCCAATAAAATAAAAAATATATTTATCCTGTTGCTCAACGATTCTAATCCTGAGAAGAAGAAGAAAAAAATACCAGTTCATAACAACATATGTATAAGAATATTTTCTACTGACATAATTTATAGTAGCCAAGAACTAGAAATAAAGTAATGCCCATCTATAGAAGAATAGCTAAATACATTATGGTTTAATACCAAATATTGTTCAGTCACTTAAAAAGAATGAACTGAGTTAAACTAGATGATTTGAAGGAATTTTAATGAAATATTGTTGCATTAAAAGGAAAAAAATATGTAAAATGATATACAAGCAAAAAAAAAAAAAAAAAACACTTTCCGTATATGTAGGTCTACATAGGATTGTATGAACAGAAAAATACAATGTATGCACACTACATAATTACCTGGGGAAGGAGGGATGGCTGTGAGAGAAGAGACAGGAAAATTGTGTATAATAAAAACAGCATGTGTGTTATGTTCTTATTTCTATAAAATTATTCATGTGTTTTTTGGGTTTTCTGAGCCACTCCTCAGATGACTATAGGTAGCCAGGTTTAAGGATTACAGCTAAGGCCAGGCGCGATGGCTCAAGCCTGTAGTCCCAGCACTTTGAGAGGCCAAGGCAGGCGGATCACAAGGTCAGGAGTTCGAGACCAGCCTGACCAACATGGTGAAAACCCCATCTCCAACAAAAATACAAAAACTAGCCAGGCGTGGTGGTGGGCGCCTGTAATCCCAGTTACTCAGGAGGCTGAGGCAGGATAATCACTTGAACCCAAGAGGCAGAGGCTGCAGTGAGTCGACATCGCGCCACTGCACTCCAGCCTGGGCAACAGAGACTCACTCCATCGCAAAAAAAAAAAAAAAAAAAAAAAAAAAATTACAGCTATGGCCGGCTGTGGTAGTTCATGCCTGTAATCCCAGCACTTTGGAAGGCTGAGGCAGTAGGATCACTTGAGCCTAAGAATTCAAGACCAGCCTAGGCAGCATAGTGAGACCCCATCTCTAAAAAAAGAAATAAAAAAAAGCATTAAAAAATTAGCCAGGTATGGTGGTGCACATCTGTATTTGGAAGACTGAAGCAGGAGGATCATTTGAACCTGGAAAGTGGAAGCTGGAGTGAGCCATGATCGTGCCACTGTACTCCAGCCTGGGTGACAGAGTAAGACTTTGTCTCAAAAAAAAGAGAAAAGAATTACAGAGTAATTTTTAGAATTGGCTGTTCCTCTAATCAAGCCAAGTGTGACTCCTAGACAAGAAGGTAGCCACTGGAACCTCCTGAAGGGAGTAGAATCTGATTCCTTTAAAAGAAGGCAGGGTGCGATGGCTCACACCTGTAATCCCAGCACTTTGGGAGGCTGAGGCAGGTGGATAACCTGAGGTCAGGAGTTCAAGAGCAGCCTGGCCAACATGGCGAAACCCTGTCTCTACTAAAAATACAGAAATTAGCCGGGTGCAGTGGTGTGCACCTGTAGTCCCAGCTACTTGGGAGGCTGAGGCAGGAGAATCACTCGGAGGCAGAGGTTGCAATGAGCTGAGATCACACCACTGCACTCCAGACTAGGTGATAGAGTGAGAATCCATCAGGGAAAAAAAAAAAAAATTTAAGCAGAGGTAGAAGTGGCCATTTGTAAGGGAATTTCTAGAATAAATAAAAGATAGGGTTAAGATGATGTCTACTCACTGATCAATCATAACAAAAGAAAGACTACCAGACATTATGTATTTGCTGATATGGTGTAAGAAATACAAAGAACTTCCTATTAAATATTATTGTTTTTAAAATTTGTATCTGATTTTAATTGAGCCTCTAGCTCTAAGTACTAAGTTGCAGGAAAAATGAGGGCTAGAAGAACATGGTGGTTTTTTTGGGACAGAGTCTCCCTCTGTTGCCCAGGCTGGAGTGTAGCGGCCTGATCTCAGCTCACCACAATCTCCGCCTCCCGGGTTCAAGTGATTCTCCTGCCTCAGCCTCCCGAGTAGCTGGGACTACAGGTGCGTGCCACCATGCCCGACTAATTTTTATATTTTTAGTGGAGACAGGGTTTCACCATGTTGGCCAGGCCGGTCTTGAACTGACCTCGTGATTTGCCTGCCTTAGCCTCCCAAAGTGCTGGGATTACAGGCGTGAGCCACTGCACCCGGCCAAGTTTTTTTTTCTTAAAGACTTAAAACTATAATCAGCAAAATCTACAATGTGTGAAATGTTAAAAGACAATGACCAAATTTCTTCAACGAATAAATGGAAGGGGAAAAAACAGAGGGTATCATACTGGCAAAAACACCCAAAACCAAAAACAACAACAACAAAAAAAAGACTTACGAGCCTTACCATCAAAAAGCAATGTGTGTGTCTTGTTTGAATCCTGACTTGAAATAAAACAACTGTAAAAAGACATTTATGGGACCACTGAGAAAACTGGAATATTGGCTAGGTATTATATTAATAAATTATTGTTAATTTTTTAGGTATAATAATATTATAGGTTTGTCTCTTAAAAAAGAATCTGGCCGGGTGTGGTAGCTCATGCTTATAATCCTAGCACTTTGGGAGACCAAGGCAGGTGGATCACCTGAGGTCAGGAGTTCAAGACTAGCCTGGCAAACATGGTGAAACCCTGTCTCTACTAAAAAAAAAATATACATATATATATATATACACACACACACACACACACACACACACACAAATTAGCCAGGTGTGGTGGCGTGCGCCTGTAATCCCAGCTACTCAGGAGGCTGAGGCAAGAGAATCACTTGAACCCAGGAGGCAGAGGCTGCAGTGAGTTGAGATCGTGCCACTGTATTCCAGCCTGGGTGACAGAGCAAGACTCCATCTCATTAAAAAAAAAAAAAAAAGAATGTTTATTTCTGAGAGATACATGCTAAATTATTTATGAATGAAATAATATAATGTCAGAGATTCAGAGATTTGTTTTAAAATAATCTAGAAGAGGCTGGGCATGGTAGCTCATGCCTGTAATCCTAGCACTTTGGGAGGCTGAGGCGGGTGGACTACTTGAGCTCAGGAGGTAGAGACCACCTGGGCAACATGGCAAAACCCTGTCTCTCCAAACCACACAAAAAAATTAGCCAGATGTGGTGGTGTGTGCCTGTGGTCCCAGATACTCAGGAGGCTGCGGTGGGAGGACCTCAGCAGTGGCCCTGATGGCATCACTGCATTCCAGCCTGGGCAACAAAGCAAGACCTTGTCTCATAAAATAAAAAATAAATAAAATAAAATAAAATAAAATTAAAATTAAATAATAAAATAAAATAAAATATAAAATCAATAAAATAAAATAAAATAAATAAAATAAATAAAATAAAATAAAATAAAGTAGAGGGGAAAGGAAAGTGGTGGAGGTATAGCTAAATCAAAACTGGCCATATGCGCAGTGGCTCACTCCTGTAATCCTAGCATTTTGGAAGGCCAAGGTGGGCGGATGACGAGGTCATGAGATGGAGACCATCCTGGATAATATGGTGAAACCCCATCTCTACTAAAAATACAAAAATTAGCCAGGTGTAGTGGTGCACACCTGTAGTCCCAGCTACTTGGGAGGCTGAGGCAGGAGAATCACTTGAACTCAGGAGGCAGAGGTTGCAGTGAGCCGAGATCGCGCCACTGCACTCCAGCCTGGGAGGTAGAACAAGACCTCGTCTAAAAAATAAATAATAAAATAAAATTTAAAAACTGCCATATGTTGTAACTGCAAGATAATCACTATGGAAGCTGGTTATAAGTACCTGGAGGGTTATCATAACATTTATTTTGTTTTTTTTTTTTGAGATGGAGTTTTGCTCTTGTTGCCTAGGTTGTAGTGCAATGGTGTAATCTCAGCTCACTGCAACCTCCGTCTCCCGGGTTCAAGCAATTCTCCTGCCTCAGCCTCCTGAGTAGCTAGGATTACAGGCGTCCACCACCACCACGCCCAGCTAATTTTTTGTATTTTCAGTAAAGCCATGTTGGCCAGGCTGGTCTCCAACTCCTGACCTTAGGTGATCCATCCGCTTTGGCCTCCCAAAGTGCTGGGATTACGGTGTGAGTCACTGTGCCCGGCCTACTCTTATTCCTTACTTTTGAATATATTTGAAATTTCCCATAACAAAAGTTAATTTCTTATTTTTTAGATATCTATAAGATGATGTCTGCTCAAGTTCAAAGTACGATGAAATTCAGAATATAGGTCAAGAGCAGTGTTTATATAACACTTTAGGAACTACAATCATGTCAAAATCTGGTCACAAAAGACCACATACTGTATGATTCCATTTATATGAAATGTCCAGAACAGGCAAATCTCTAGAGACAGAAAATAGATGAGTTGCCTGGGGTTGGGGGAAGAGAAGGAGGAGATAAAGAGTGATTTGCCAATGGGTACAGAGTTTCTGGTTAAAATGCTTTTTTTTTTTCTTTTTGAGACAGGGTCTCACTCTGCCACCCAGACTGAAGTGCAGTGGCGCAATCTCAGTTCACTGCAACCTCCATGTCACCAATTCAAGCCATTCTTGTGCCTCAGCCTCCCAAGTAGCTGGGATTATAGGTATGTGCCACCACGTCCAGCTAATTTTTGTATTTTTAGTAGAGACGGGGTTTCACCATGTTGGTCAGGGTGGTCTCGATCTCCTGACCTCAAGTGATCTGCCCTCGGCCTCCCAAAGTGCTGGCATTACAGGAGTGAGCCACCGCGCCCAGCCCTGAACCATTCTTTAGCACAGCATACGGGAGAAGCCATGGGCAAATACTTAGTAATCTCTTACTTTAGAATGAGGGAAGTTGCCTGTGAGTGATAATTCTGCCCCTTCCTCCACTCTAGCCAGAAAAATGTCTAGCTCTTGTCATGGAGGCTTTCTGAGTAAAGTAGAAAGTTCTACTACCTCCTACTAAGCTGGGGATACTATCTGTATAGAATACCCCCTTCTGATCTTTCCCTGCTTTCAGCTTTTATATGATCCTCCCTCCTCCCCCCAACCCCTGTTTGCATTCTTACCTGTTTGGCTAAATGGGTGCCAGGCTGTATCCTGCTGCCCCCATCCAGAACAGCCAAGTTGTGAAGCGTGAAGACTGGCCTGATACAGAGACTCCAATTCTGAGGTCTCCTGCTCTGTGTCTTGATTCCAATGTGGATGCAAAAGGATGTGATTTCTCTCTGGATAGGTTACACACATATGGGAATCATGAGGGGAGGACTTCATTCCTGGCCTAGAGGCCGCATGTTTAGGCTGAGAATCACAGAACCTTGTGACATTCACCCAGGAATCCAAAGGCAAGGAAGTCCCCAAGTCAGCACTGCTGCCCAGATCCTTAGACCTAGCATCTCTCACTTGGAACGGCTTCTCTTCGTGTATGTCTGGCTCTGCCAACCTGGGCTGTCCTCCCCTAGAAGTTTCACCATTAGGCAGCCCAGAGTTTAAGGCAAGAGAAGAATGTTCAGTGGACTCTTCCCAGGAAAGTGGTCTGTCCCCACTCTCCAGAGAGGATTGTTGCTTTGCCCATGGCCAGTGGCCTTTCTCTTGACCCTGTGAGAAAGGAGGCTTAGAATCAGAAGGGGAAGAGTTCTTCCTTAGACTACCCGACAAACTTCTATCCTTGAAACCTGTACTATCTCTCATGGAGACACCCTGCATCCTCTGGAACTGCTCAGCCAGAGAACGGACAAGCCCCTTCGTGCTGGGAAACTCTGGCCTGTAGGGCTCCTCACTGCCTCTGTCCACTTTTAAAGTCAATGAAGTTTTGAGGCTTTGGCCTTGGAGGCATTGGTTAGTTTTCTGCACAGGATCAGGACAGCGAAGCACAGATGAAGAAGCAACAGGCAGTATGGGGTGGCAGGTTCTATACAGGGGAAGGCTGGGCTGAGCTGATGAATTTGAAGGACTACAGCCTAGGCTATGTTCATCTCCCCTCTCAGAGGTGGCTATTCCAGGCATCACCAGGGAGGGGTTATTAGCAGGGTCCCTCTTTTCTTGGAATAGCTGTTCTTGAGCAATGCCTCTTCCTTCTTGTGGAGGTAGCTTGCTGCAACTGCTGTTGTCACACCTAGAGCCTTGCAGCTTACCCTCTGGGGCATCCAATGGCTCCCAACTAAGATGAGAATTCTTCTCAGTCCATCCTGGTGTTTTAGGTAAACCTTGCCTGTGGAATGCAGAGGGTTCAATGTTGTCTACTTCAACCGAAGTCAGAAGCTTCAAGGCAGATCTACTGGGGGAGCTGTGCTGTGGGGCAGATGACACTGGAGATAGTGATGAGTGTGACTCATGGCAGGAAGCAGGTGAATGGAAGAAAGAACTGGCCCCAAACTCTGTATCCGTGCCGGGTTCCAGTTGGGCCTCTTGGCTTAACAATACTTGGAGCGGGATAGGCTGTTCACTGAAACAAATGGAGACAGCTAGTCATAAGCTGTCTTGACTGACAGGAACGCTTACAGAAAGAACTGTTCATTCCATTCCCATTTCTAGCTATTCACACAGGGAATGGTAAAAATAAACAGAAAGACAAGCACAAGTAGAGTCAGTAGTTCAGAGGATCACAAAAGAAAAGGCACATGGTCAGCTCACACCCAGGTAAATAGGTAACATTAATCCTCTTTATTAAATGCCCTCACTAAAGGTGTACAGTAACATTAAGTGGACCCCTTGCCAATATTCTTCACTACCTGTGAAGTCGCATTCCAATCACATTCTACTTGCAAATTAGGAAACAAAATCAGCTAGTCTCACATGCAGATGACATGGAAGGTAAGCAAAGCCTGAAAATCACTCATACCAAACAGCAAAAATCCAGGATGTTATACAGGGAGGCAAGTCCTACCTGGGGTCCTGAGAGGCAGCCCAGCCAAAGGAACCATGAGGCCACATTTACAAAATACACGGTGATTTGGGCTCATGGGAATACACAGAAATCAACCATTTCAAATATGTTTTTAAAATCTGGATTTTGTTCTATTAGTCACTGAGATGTTTCCCCAAAGCAATATGACTCTCTTGAGATTTAGGAGTAGGAGTAGGGATTAACTGTATTTAGTTGGTTTCTCACTAATTGTTTTGTATTTCTGATTTTAAAAACTTAATGTTACAAGGACTTAAATAAAGCCTCAATCACTCACATACATCAGGAAGTATATGTTTTCTGGAAAGGGTTTACCTATCTAAATTGCTTATATTCAAAACAAGCCCCTAAATTTGAATGAAAATATACTAGAAACTTTTGAGGGTATAGTCACCCAGTCACCCTTATAACATTATGGAGAATAAGATATACTAATATGGGAAGCCTAATCATAAAAGGCAATATACATAATGGTTAAGGACATGTGCTTTAGCATCAAATAGACCTGCATTTTGTTTTTTTTTTTTTGAGACAAGTTCTTTCTCTGTCACCCAGGCTGGAGTGTGGCAGCACCATCACAGCTCACTGTAGCCTTGACCTGCTGGGCTCAACCAATTCTTCCACCCCAGCCTCCCAAGTAGCTGGGACCACAGGTATGCACCACCATGCCCAGCTAAATTTTTTTTGTTTTTTGTAGAGACAGGGTTTTACCATGTTGCCCAGGCTGGTCTCAAACTCCTTGACTCAAATAATCTGCCCTCCTCAGCCTCCCAAAATTCTAGGATTACAGGCATGAGCTACCATGCCTAGCAGTTAACTATTTTTGAACATTTGCCTTTTGAACATTGAGCCCAGGAGGTTGAGGCTGCAGTAAGCTATGATCGTGCCACTGCACTCCAGCCTGGGTGAAAAAGCAAGATCCTGTCTCAAAAAAAAAAAGTTAACTGCTTTTATTAATTTATATTTTGAAAACTACTCAGAATTATTAATGGTCCAAATTAATGTTTATTTAAATTCATCTATTCTTTTTGTTTTTGTTTTTGTTTTTGTTTTGAGACGGAGTCTCGCTCTGTCTCCCAGGCTGGAGTGCAGTGGCCGGATCTCAGCTCACTGCAAGCTCCGCCTCCCGGGTTTACGCCATTCTCCTGCCTCAGCCTCCCGAGTAGCTGGGACTACAGGCGCCCGCCACCTCGCCCGGCTAATTTTTTGTACTTTTTAGTAGAGACGGGGTTTCACCATGTTCGCCAGGATGGTCTCGATCTCCTGACCTCGTGATCCGCCCGTCTCAGCCTCCCAAAGTGCTGGGATTACAGGCTTGAGCCACCGTGCCCGGCAAATTCATCTGTTCTAAGTAAAAGCCAAATTCAAGGGCTAAGATGAGAGAACTACAACAATGACTACTGGAACTTCTTTCCTAGTCCTGACCATAAAGAAGCAAAGCAAAGGGAATCATTGTGTCTCTTCTTTATGGTGCAATCAGAGCAAGAAAGACTGCTTTCTCGGCTTCCATAAGGATAGGAAGCATTGAAATCCCAAAATAAATCACATGGTAGCTACTACAACATGAAATGTAGCCTAGATTGCCATGTCTAAGAACATAATATATATATACAAATATAATAATTGCATTACACAAGTCCAGGGCTAAAGTTACCCATGGGAAATGTGGACAAATGGTCTTATTATGCTGTACTTTTGCATCCTAGGAATTATTAAGGAAAGGACCAGCAGTACAATGAGTTTTTCACTGTATGTCTGACCTGAAAGAAGAAAATCTTTTCAGAGGACTCCTCTCTCCCCTTCAGTCGGCAAGACAATGAGAGCTCTTGCTATAGAGTACTGATGGTCACTTCTTCCCCTGGTGTTCATAAACTAACATGGTTCCCAAGCACTACCTTGTTGGCTGAGGGAGAGTCCCCGCCTGTGACGGGAGGCAGGCTGAGGGCTGCGACGGCTGCTGTGGTGATTGCTGCTGCTGCATGCGATCCTGCAGGCTCCGTGCTTTTCGAATACTGATTTGCAACTTCTTATCGACTAGGGCTCTGCTGTGCGTGCTACAGCTGGCACCATGCAGGGCAAGTCTTAGTTTAGCTAAAATGCAAAAGAAAATATAGCAGAAACAGAACACAAAACACAAACAAAAATAAAAAGAATAAAATTGAACAAAAATGAGCAAAGATATGCAGTAAAACTCAAAATATGTAGCAGGAATGCAAGGCACGGACCATGCATATGCTGTCCAGGGCACAGAGCTGCCTCTGGCTATAAGGAACATTGATGGAAGCCATGGAGGCCAAACAGGTTAATCCAAATTAAAAAACAAAACAAAACTAAAATAAATCAATAAGATAAACTGGTGCCTCCATCTTAGAGATTGCCACTCTTGTCCAACTGACCTGTCTGACTCTGGTCTCCACACTCTACTCTCACCCCTCTCTTCCCAATGGCCAACAGCAAAAATAAGATCCAAACCTGTATCTCTCTTTATAGACCACAGCTTCTTGTGGGTCACATACAAGAAGCCGATACCAATTCTAAGCCTTAGTCTCTTGCTGTAAGCTTATGGTGCTGTATACTATGAAGGTAGGGGAGAATCAGAAAGAATCAAATATTGAAGTAAAAAGTCACAGGCCTGGGAAGTCATAGCCAATTTATTCAGTTTTCCTTCTATAAGCTCCAACTCACTAGCCAGTGACTAGCAAAAAAGCAGACTAATCTCACATCTGAGGTCTAACTTTATCCTGGAATAAGAAGGTAGGCATGACTGGAGAAATCATCTATGGCTTCCTTGCTGAGGTTATTCTGGTAAATATCCATAGGCCACAGTGCCAGTGCCAGGTACACTTAGAAATCTAAAGGGCAAAAACAGCTAACGGGCCTCAGTTTGGGAGAGCAAGAGTGAGGAGACACAAAAACTGTTGTCTGAGTGACAACACTATTAATACCTATTGTGAAGTTAGTCAAAAGTGCCATAGCCATAGCAGTTAGAGTTACTTACAGATAGCTTCATTACAGAGAGCCAAAGCTGCAGCACAGTCTCCTTTCTGTTCCAGATGCAGTGACTCTTCAAATACTGACTCTGCCTCTTGCAGGGACCTCTCAAAGCCGTCACTCCTCCCTGAAAGGGCCAGCACTTTTCATTTTCATTACAATTCATTCCAACTTTTCCTGTGTACTGTTGTTTCCCTTCAGTACACAGAGATCCTTGCTGCTGAGCCACTGGTCTACCCTTATTCCAACTGTTCATTGCTATTAAGAATTCTCTGAAACAAGCAGGACATTCATTTTGCCTTAACCGAGATGTTACCAAGGCCATGAAAGAGAGGCATGCCATTAATCACATATTCTAACACCAAGACTCTTAGGAAGTCCCTCAAGGAAAGAACAAAGTATTCCATATAGCAGAAGGGTAGGTTCTTATGCCTGGAAGTGAACTGCTCTTTCCCAGTGCAATTCTTGCCAACTAGTGTCAGAACACCCTAGATGTCGACTGAGACCTTCACTGCTAAGTTATGGCAAAGGTAGCTTCATTATTCTGTGGACAACCATCCATACCACTTATTTACTTCACCAAATCACAGTCCTTTATGCACCACTCTAAACTGGAAAATCAGTACACCTCTTAGTCACAGATGGTCTACACTTGCTAATCCAATGTATCTGCCAGGGCAGTTGAACGGCCTTCGTTCCTGGTTTGCATATACATACTTTTCATAAGCAATGCTAAGTATTTACTTTCATCATGCTATTCCTCACCAAAACTACCCGCAAAGAAGTCAACTTCCCATACAGCGAGCAGGGAATATTCCATCCTCCTCTCAAAGTGAATGTGTGCCAAAGCAGGAGCAGAAGAGTCTAAAAACAATACCAGATGAAAAGGCTAGGAAGTACAGGCAGAGAAATTTTTGTAAAAGAACTCTCATGTTTATGTATCCCTTGCCCTCTACTTACTCATAATCATAAGTTGGCAGCAAGCTGTAACATAAGTTCACCTACAAATGGGATTGCCAGTGAGCCTTCACAAAGTTGCAGGGGGAAAAAAAAATGTCTGAGTTACTTCTCCCATAATGTCCCTCATCCTCCACTTACCTCCAGCTGGACATGGTAATAAAGGCTCTTCCACATCCCTAACATTCACTTCCTAATTCATCATGACTTTTTGAGAGCAATGGGAAGACAATGGAAACAGCTGGTTGGTTCTGAAGAACTTGGCACTCAGGATCCACTCTATCTCTAGAGGTGTGGTTTCCCTTACTTCCCAGACCTGAAGTTCTCTCATAATATTTGTAATCAACTAAATGTATACAACCTTTATAATCAGAGGTAGTGCCTAGAGCCATTTTTTTTAAGTTCTCTACTTTACGGAGATCTAGACAAGCTACAGTTGATCAATCACTGTACTAAATTTTAATTCTTATCCTCCAGAATCTTAGTATTCCATTCCTTGCTCATGCAGGAAATGCTGAACCACAGTGTATGGAAAATTGACAATGAAAGATAGCCAGTGGGATCTCCTCCTAACTTTAATCTGTTGCCCAACTGGCAGAGAGAGAAAAAAAGGAAAGGAGAGAAATGACAAGACCCCTTTATTCAGAAGCAAAATAAACCTGGGACACCAATGTGATTATAGCTTGAGGTAAAAAAGGGAAAAAAGACTATCCAAATATAGAGACAGCTAAGTATTAGGAATTTAAAACTAATTTGGAAACGAATACAATGTCTTGGGAAATATGAGGCGACAATTACCTTGAATCAAAAGAGAGTAGTATTAAAGGAAAAAAGCTGCCCCCAAACAGGATTACTTGGCCCAAGAAGATTCTCTAAGTGTATATAAAAAGAGAAACATGGTCAACAGAAAACAGCCAAAAAAGTTAAAAGCTTGCACTTACAAACTTGGACCTTTATACTGCTTTAGCACAATTTGTTGTAAGTGGGGTTTCCAAATTATAAAAATAATAAAGTCATTTTATAGGGAAAAAAAAACTAAGATATAGGTTTCATGGCCTATTTAAGGTAGATATCTCAGCTGGCTGAACTATTTTTTTTTTTTTTTTTTGAGATGGAGTCTTGCTCTGTCTCCCAGGCTGGAGTGCAGTGGCATGATCTTGGCTCACTGCAAGCTCCGCAGCTGAACTATTTTGAAGGTTAGTCTCTTTTGGTACAAAGTGACATCCTAAAAAAATTCTAGGAAGAAAAAAGTCTAACGTGGGGCAGTTGTGGAAGTAAAGTCATGCAAATTGTTTGAGGTTAGAGAATCAATTGTCATGGTATCAAAAGTAAACTGGCTTTGTTCTTGCTCCTGTTTGGCAGATCCACTTCCCTGATACTCCAGGTGGAATATTTCGTGGGTATGTTTCTTCCCAGCAAGTAAAATTCCCCTCACTGTCAGTGTGGCTCACTGCCATTTTCAGTTATTTCTGACTCAAGGCTAGTTTTATTTACACCTTCAACAGATGTTCATGGGAAACATTATTCATGAACAATACACTATCTCTAATAAATTTAATAGATGTGCCCCAAATCAGTGCCTATCTCCAGTTAATAGTCTTGTCACATCCTACTCTAACTTGTTCTCACTGGAATGGGTGAATTAAGATTTTAAAAATTATTTTGCTAAAGAGAAGACAGGGAACTTACAAACTTACATGTTTTTTTCTACCCTTTCTGTCTTTCCCCATCACCCACAACCTAATGCTCACAACAATTACCCTGATTCTGCAGTTCATCCAAGTCCATGAAGCGGCTAGGATGAGGGTTAAACCCTTTCGCTGCCTCTAATTCTTTCTCCCGTTTTCTTCGAAGTTCCTGTTCCTGCGCCCTCCTGGCCACTTCTTCCTGCAATTCATCCAGTTCACTTTTAGAAGATATCTCCTCACCTGTAATAAAAGCAAGGGAGAAGTCACTACATTTCCATTACCAAGACTAAGTACTTGATGAATTTTTAACCACTGCAATACTTTCCCTTTAGAATTCTTGCTTTCAATTTGGAGTTTATTTATTTATTTATTTATTTATTTATTATTTTTTATTTTTTTGGGACGTAGTCTCACTCTGTCGCCCAGGCTGGAGCGCAGTGGCGCGATCTCGGCTCATTACAAGCTCCGCCTCCTGGGTTTACGCCATTCTCCGGCCTCAGCCTCCCGAGTAGCTGGGACTACAGGCGCCCACCACCTCGCCCGGCTAGTTTTTTGTATTTTTTAGTAGAGATGGGGTTTCACCGGGTTAGCCAGGATGGTCTCTATCTCCTGACCTCGTGATCCGCCCGTCTCGGCCTCCCAAAGTGCTGGGATTACAGGCTTGAGCCACCGCGCCCGGCGATTTATTTATTTTTTTGAGATGGAGTCTGTGTTGCGCAGGCTGGAGTGCAATGGCGCCATCTCAGCTCACTGTAACGTCCGCTTCCTGGGTTCAAGCGATTCTTCTGCCTCAGCTTCCTGAGTAGCTGGGACTACAGGCACGTGGCACCAAGCCCAGCTAATTTTTGTATTTTTAGTAGAGACAGGGTTTGACCATGTTGGTCAGTCTGGTCTCAAACTCCTGGCCTCATGATCCACCTGCCTCGGCCTGCCAAACTGCTAGGATTACATACAGGTGTGAGCCACTGCACCAGGCCCAATTTGGAGCTTTTATTTTGTATAATGCTTCCCATAATCAGATTCAGGATGGCACTTGGGCCAGGAATAATAATAATAATAATAACAACAGGCCGGGCACAGTAACTCATGCCTGTAATCCCAGCACTTTGGGAGGCCAAGGTGGGAGGATCACCTGAGGTCAGGAGTTTGAGACCAGTCTGGCCAACATGGTGAAACCCTGTCTCTACTAAAAATACAAAAATTAGCCAGGCTTGGTGGAAGGTGCCTGTAATCCCAGCTACTCAGGAGGCTGAGGCAGGAGAATCACTTGAACCCGGGAGGTGGAGGTTACAGTGAGCCAAGATCATGCCATTACACTCCAGTCTGGGGGACAAGAACAAGACTTCGTCTCAAAATAATAATAATAATAACAATAACAACAACATTTATTGAGTGCTTCACAACAATGGTATTACACTGAACATTTGCTCAGCGCTTACTATGTGCCAGAAATAGTTTTAAGCACGTTTACATGTATTATTTCATTTAATCATAACAACAACTTACGAGGTAGATACTATTACCCCATTTTAGGAATGAGGAAACTGAGTCACAAAGAGGATAAATAATTTGCCCAAGGTAAAACAAATGGGAAATAATGAAGCTAAATTAAAGTCAAGTAGGTTAAATTCATAATCATGCTTTAATCATTAGAGAACACTTTCTACCAAGTGTTGTCACTGACTGACTGGGGAGCTTCAAGCATGTCATTTTCTCACCCTTAATTTCCACCACCTCTTTGAATTTGTAAAATGTCCACAGCAGTAAAAGTCCAATTTTATAAACCTTTCTAGATGGATCTGAATAGATCTAGAAGGATGTCCATAAAAAATTAAGTGAAAAATTGAGTGAGAGAAAAACATGTATAGTATGACTTCATCTTACTTTTTAAAAATGGTGCTTACCTATATATATGTACATAAACTTATCTATGTACTTGTATAAGCATAGAAAAAGACGGAAAGATATATACTACAATGGTAACAGTGGTTCCTTCAATTTCAGGAGGCAAAGGGCAGATTATTGAATTACTGGACTTGATTTACCTCTGTAGTTTTTTAAAAGAGTATGCAAAGTTACCATATAAGAATGTTTGTTTTGTGTCTTAATAAAATGGTTAGATCAAATTGTGGGGCATAAATAGGGCTTGTTATACAAAGAGGATGGTGGGGTGATATGGTGTGTGAAGAATCTTGTCATAACTCCTTGCTAATTATCTTTTACCAATTGAAGAATGCTGTTGGTGAATTCTATCCAACTAGTCCAGAATTGAGGACTATTCAGGAGATCATGAGACTCAGTCTTTAGTGCAATAAAAAAAATCCTGGCTATCTGAAGAAAAGGGAGAATAGTCTCATGCATGATTCACAAGTTTCTCAAAACAATGTTATTCAACATGAAATAAATTAAAATATGGGGAATAAACCAAATGTATAATTACAATGGGAAGCCCAAATTTCTTCCACGTGTCTCTTAACTGTAACTTACTAGAGCACAGGATTCCAGAGATGTCTGCCTTTATAGGCATTGTTCTGCTCTGCCAGATGTCTGCAACCTTTAGTGTACATACCTAAAAGGGTTCATGCCTTTTTATTACTGCTGCTACAGGCCTTTCTTCCTGCTACCTCTAAGACTTGTCAATAACTATCAAGAGAATTGGTAGTAAGACTAAGATATTTAGCCACGGGTAAGGATAAATTTGAATTGCTTATTTCCAAGTTTTGCAAATAGGCACATATGTACCCCTTTGGTATGTCAATTCATAATACTAAACAATAAGAAATCCATTTTCCAAGAGGCTGTCACTAATCCAAGGAAAGCCCTAGGATCTATTCTTCTGAAAAATGGGGATGTTATTAACACTGTTCACCATATTTCTGTCCCTTCTTGCTCCCACAAGGGCTCCCTCCAAGTAGAAAGAAATATTCAAGCAGGCTGTGATGAAGAACAAAAAATAGATAAATCCAAAGATGGAGCAACTGAAATGACTCTACATTTACATTCTGATGGAATACTCAAACTGTAACTGTCCTTTTTTTTTTTGAAATGGAGTCTCACTCTGTCACCCAGGCTGGAGTGCAGTGGCATGATCTCGGCTCACTGCAACTTCCACCTCCCAGGTTCAAGCAATTCTCCTGCCTCAGCCTCCCAAGCAGCTGGGACTACAGGTGCACACTACTACACCCGGTTAATTTTTTGTATTTTAGTAGAGATGGCGTTTCACCATGTTGCCCAGGCTCATCATGAACTCATGAGCTCAGGCAATCTGCCTGCCTTGGCTTCCCAAAGTACTGGGATTACAGGTGTGAGCCACTGCACCCGGCCTATAACTGTCCTCTAATTTCAAATGTACTCAGGTAAGTCTGGTCCCCAGACAAAACTGCTGGTCAAATCCAGTCTTCAAATCCAGTGTCCTTCTGCTTACCTGAGAAAGGCTGACTCTTTGTCCAGCCACCCATGGATGCTGTGGAGTCCACCTCCAGGATGCTACTACTGTGCGACTTTGGGATATGACGCCAGGAAGGAACCAACCCAGCTGATCTCTTAGCACTTGGATCCCTTCAAAAGAGAATCCAGAGTCTAATGAAAGCATGAAAGCAGGTTACAGTAACATTCCTAGGACTAAATCTCTCTCTCAAAAAAAAAAAAAAAAAAAAAAAACACACATCAAACTGACATAATTAGAGCTTCTGCTAAATTACTTCTAAAAAATTGAAATATCCACTCATTCTCCTATCTAATCTCATCTCACCTCATTCACATCTTGTGCATCTAGCACAGTATCTGGTACATAATACATATTCAAAATCTGTTGAAAGTATTAATGAACGTATTGGTTTCATATCTATTTCCTTCTTTCTTACTAAACCTTTGTACCATCTTCTCATAAGTAAAACTGAACAGGATCCTGCGGACAGGAAAGAACATTGAGGGAGTATGAACATGTGATTATCACCTTTCATTCCTTTCAAAGCAGCTCTACTATTAGAAAAATTGCCTTGGCTGGGTGCAGTGGCTCACGCCTGTAATCCCTGCACTTTGGGAGGCCAAGGCGGGCAGATCATGAGGTCAAGAGATCAAGACCATCCTGGCCAACATGGTGAAACCCCATCTCTACTAAAAACACAAAAATTAGCTGGGCATGGTGGCACGCGCCTGTAGGCCCAGCTACTAGGGAGGCTGAGGCAGGAGAATCGCTTGAACCCAGGAGGTTGCAGTGAACCAAGATCGTAGAACTGCACTCCAGCCTGGTAACACATCGAGAGACTCCATCTCAAAAGAAAAAAGAAAGAAAAAAGAAAAATTGCCTCTGTGGCAACTCAGTAAAAATAATGTATGGAGATTTGAAATTTATAAAGAAAACTGAGCCCTACGGGCAGGGTGCAATGAGTGCTAATAAATTGTCATCATTATTATGAATACTATTAGCATCATAAAACACAGAGTCCCAGTGACCCAAAAACAAATCAAAATAAAAACTATCCCACCACACTGGGTGTGGTGATTCACACCTATAATCCCAGTACTCTGGGAGGCTGAGGTGGGTAAATCACTTGAGCCCAGGAGTGAAAGATAAGCCTAGGCAAAATGATGAAACCCCACTGATACCAAAAAAAAAAAAAAAAGCAATGACAACAACAAAACACTATCCCAAAACAACATTTGGGTTTCTTCTCTGATTTTAGGATTACATAAGTTTTAATTCACTAATCCATTCTTTTTGAGATGGAGTTTCACTCGTCACCCAGGCTGGAGTGCAGTGGTGCAATCTTGCCTCACTGCAAACTCTGCCTCCCGGGTTCAAGTGATTCTCCTGCCTCAGCCTCCAGAGTAGCTGGGACTAGAGGTGCGCACCATCGTGCCCAGCTAATTTTTGTATTTTTAGTAGAGACAGGGTTTCACCATGTTGGCCAAGATGTTCTCAATCTCCCGACCTTGTGATCCACCCACCTCAGCCTCCCAAAGTGCTGGGATTACAGGCATGAGCCACCATGCGGTGGCCTACTAATCCATTCTTTTTTTTTTTTTTTTAGATGGAGTTTCACTCTGTTGCCCAGGCTGGAGTGCAATGGCACGATCTCGGCTCACTGCAACTACACCTCCCAGGTTCAAGCAATTCTCCTGCCTCAGCCTCCCGAGTAGCTGGGATTACAGGCGCCCACCACCATGCCCGGCTAATTTTTTTTTTTTTTTGTATCTTTAGTAGACACGGGTTTTCACCATGTTGGCCAGGTTGGTCTCGAACTTCTGACCTCGTGATCCACCCACCTCAGCCTCCCAAAGTGCTGGAATTACAGGCGTGAGCTACCACAGCCAGCCTAGTCCATTCTTTTCTTTTCTTTTTTTTTTTTTTTGAGATGGAGTCTTGCTCTGTCACCTAGGCTGGAGTTGCCATGGCACGAGCTTGGCTCATTACCACCTCCATCTCCTGGATTCAAGTGATTCTCCTGCCTCAGCCTCCCAAGTAACTGGGATTACAGGCGCCCGCCAGCATGCCTGGCTAATTTTTGTTTTTTAGTAGAGACGGGGTTTCACCATGTTGGCCAGGCTGGTCTCAAACTCCTGACCTCAAATGATCCACCCACCTTGGCCTCCCAAAGTGCTGGGATTACAGGTGTGAGCCAACATGCCTGGCCTAATCCGCTCTTTAATACATTTTTTTACTGCATATATTTAAGGTATACAACATGATGTTATGAGATGTTATGAGACAGTAAAATGGTTACTATAATTGAAGGAAATTAACATACCCATCATCTCATATAGTCACCCTTTTTTGTTTTTGTTTTTGTGGCAAGAGGAGTTAAAATCTACTCATTTACCATGAATCTCATATGCAGTGCAATTTTATTAATTGTAGTCCTCATGTTTTACATTAGATCCCTAGACTCGTTTATCCTACATATCTGAAAAATATGGAAATCTTCACAAATTTTTGTGTCACCTTTGAGCAGGGGCCATGCTAATCTTCTCTGTATCATTCCAATTTTAGTATATGTGCTACCAAAGCAAGCACTAAACAATTATTTCATTATCCTTAGCAAACTAAGACAGGAACAGAAAACCAAATATGGCATATTGTCACTTATAAGTGGCAGCTACATGATGAGAACACATGGACACACAGAGGGGAACAACAGACACGGGCCTATCAGAGGGTGGAGGATGGGAGGAATGAGAGGATCAGGAAAAACAATTAATGGGTACTAGCTTAATATGTGGGTAACAAAATGATCTGTACAACGAACTCCTATGACACAAGTTTATCATAACAAACCTGCACATATACACCCTGAACTTAAATTTTTAAAAATTACTTTATACATGATAACTGTACTTCAAAGTATTTCAAAGATAACTGTACATAGAAAGTTCTCTCCTTTCTCAAGTGCCTTTGTTCTTCCAGCAGAGGGTGCTGTTGTTATAGGAAGTTGATAGAGCACATAGTAGCAAAGGCCTTCCCTCCACTTGTCTAAACCTTGCCTGAAAGCCCCAAGTAGGTGGCTCACATTGCTGCAAGGGACAGTGTCACAACTGTTCAACGGTCAAACAATACCTGTAGACATTTGAGCTTTCAGGCAGGGCTGCATCCAGGCTGACGGGGCTGCTGCTGTTCCTCTCACTGCTTTCATAGCCAGATTCCATTCGCTGGATTAGTCGGGGGTGCTGCTCTAAAAGGTGAGAGCCTGGCCGTGCTGGGCCCCAGCGCTTGTACTGGGGGCTTGGTCCACCAAATTTAATGTCATAAGAAGGTGGCTTGCTTGGTTCATCTGGTATAAATTCTTTAGCTATCCCAATCAAAAGACAGGTATGGAAAACGAGGTAGATTTAGCATTTGCCTAAAAACAAGACCTAACTAACTCCTCCCTCTGGCTACTTACTCACTGAACTCATATCCTTAAAACACCCAACATCAGAGTAAAAATGCCCCTTGCCAGATGTACCAAAAAACCCAGGTTTTAAAAAGACACAAATCAACTTTATTCAAAAGCCCAATTCTTCCCCAATTCTTCCCTTATCTCCTCACCTGAATCCTCAGAAAAGGGGCTAAGCTGGGTATAGCCACAGTGCTTCCTTTTCTCCTTACTAAAGATACTGTCAATATTCAGAGATTCTCGTTTTGGTCTCCATGTTGGACGATACTTGCTGGAAGAACTGGATTTTGACTCACTGCTGGTACTCTCTATTTCCCAGTCACGAGAGTGTAAAGGTAGGGTCTTAGGAGGTTTTTTGTCAGGCTGGCCTCCTCCCCTGCCCCCACAGTGGGAGCCTACATTGGTCTGAGAAGCCAGGGATGGTCTGTTATGGATCATATTGCTGACTGTCTCTTTAAAATCCCTCAGCCTGTTGGTGCTGCTGGATGGTTTGGAGGCATTTCTAGGAGCCTGCTTCTCTTTCAGTGTTTCTCCTAAAAACACAAAGAATGAAAGAAATATAGATGTTTAACGTGATCATGGATACTAGATCCCAGTGTCGAAAAAGCAAAGAAAAGCCCTTTGAGCAGAAAGGAGAAGCCAACAGTCTGGAGCATGACAGAAGTTTGATAGAGTGAATGAAGAAGAAAGAGAAGCAGTGCAGAGGGGCTTGCCTTCACTGTGGTATCCTGAGGCCTGGGGCTCATCGCCTTTCCTCCTAACCCGACCAGAGCTCCTCTTGCGCTCTATCAGTGACCCTTTCTTGGACGTGTGTTTCTGATTACATTCACTATCAGTCAGGTGTCCTGAAAAAACAAGGAAATTGGGGTAAGCTGGTATCTGAGACTAACCTCCATCCTCCTGAGAACCTACCTAATCTCCCTCTGGGAGTGCCACAAATTTAGAGTACCCATGGAACAGAAGCTGTAGGGCATAGGCTATCTGATTTCAGTGTAGGAACCTCCCAGTAGATAAATGCAGAGAAGGGCCGGGTGCAGTGACTCACACCTATAATTCCAGCACTTTGGGAGGCTAAGGCAGGCAGATCACTTGAGGCCAGGAGCTCGAGACCAGCCTGGCCAACATGGCAAAACCCTGTCTCTTACTAAAAATACAAAAATTAGTCGGGCATGGTGGCATGTGCCTGTAGTCCCAGCTACTGAGAGGCTGAAGCATTAGAATCACTTGAACCCGAGGTTGCAGTGAGCCGAGATCATGCCACTGCACTCCAGCCTGGACAACAAAGACTCTGCTAAAAAAAAAAAAAAAAAAAAAAAAAAAAGGGATAAATGCAGAGAAGCTGGGAGCATCCAAATTTACAATGTCTTGACCAATCTCAATCCCACTGATAATCTTCCCCAGTGACCCAGAAGGTCTAACGACATGTTTCTAGGTAACTTTTTAAAGGCAAAAGTTTTAAAGATTATATAAAAATGTCAGGTAGCCATATACTTTTGCTCTCATAAATTGACGACAGAGTTTTCCTTTTATTTATTTAGCAACACATATCAAATAAAGTCTGATTTTCAGTACATCTGGTATTATCCTGGATACTCCAGACTTTGCCCACAAGAGCTCTGATTGTATATGGCTTTAAGACCCAGTTCTAAGCTTCCCTTAATTGTAGATCATTTAAAGGACACTTCAACTTTGATTAATTCTCATTCCTATCCCCTACCCATGCTTCACGAAACTTGGCTCTATCCAGAGATTACACGTCACAGTTCCTTAATACTAATCACTGGGAAAACCAGGAGAGCTGGGCTCTTTTATGTAACTTGCCCAGCTTCATGCCCATAGTATGCAAATACATTAGCATGATTTGATGACAGCAAAGGTCAGATTCTAAAGGATATAAGCAACTAAAGTGCTGGAAGCCAGAGATGAATTAAGCAGGTAAAATAATTTTGAAGATACGCTTAGAAAAAAAAACAAAACCCTAGGTCAAATGCATGGAAAGCTAACAAAAATTTGTTTTCACATGACAGTATATGAAAATCCTTATACATATTCAGGTATCACCAGTGTAGTGATATGGATAAATATTTTCAATCAGTTGCCCCTTGGAATCTTGTATTGCTTTTATTTGGTCCTTTTCTACCTCTGTGCCCACAAGAAAGATTTGAGAGAGGAGGAAATGACTTGGAGCAACTAAGTCTTTTTTTTTTTTTTTTTTTTGAGATGGAATCTAGCTCTGTCGCCCAGGCTGGAGTGCAGTGGCATGATCTTGGCTCACTGCAAGCTCCGCCTTCTGGGTTCACGCCATTCTTCTGCCTCAGCCTCCTGAGTAGCTGGGACTATAGGTGCCTGCCACCACGCCCAGCTAATTTTTTGTATTTTTTTTAGTAGAGACGGGGTTTCACCATGTTAGCCAGGATGGTCTCGATCTGACCTCGTGATCCGCCCACCTTAGCCTCCCAAAGTGCTGGGATTACAGGCGTGAGCCACTGCGCCCGGCCTCAACTAAGTCTTACAAACGTTAAACCAATGGGCATGTTCTCCATTCCTCACACCCTCCCTGCCAAAACCCCTAAACCATTAACACAAATCTGCCTCTACTGGAAAATACGCTTAGTTTATCCTGTGGCTTGGCTTCTCCCTGGTTCACAGATTCAAAAAGTGGGTCTAAAAAACTCACACCTGACACAATCAATGCAGTAGTCATCAAAAGAAAGCCAACACAAGTCTGACCAAACCTCTAAGTCCAACTACCAATTTACAAGAAATATAGGACACAGAAACATGTTAAAGTATACCATAGGAATAAAATCAGTAAAATTCAGAATGTGGGAAATCTATAGGACAAAATACCTAGTTCTAGCAATAAATTGCAAGGAAAAAAATAGAGGAAAAAACATTATATTAAAAGAAACGCAAAGGACTTATCAACTCATCACAATACACAGACCTCATTTAGATGCTGAGTCAAACACATAAACCATGAAAATATTATAATACTTGTAAGTGGATATTTGAACACTCATTGGTTACCTAGCAGTTTTAAGGAATTATCATTACTATTTTTAAGTGTTATAATGCTACATTTAAAAAGTGATTTCTTATGTTTGAGCAAACATAAGAAATATTTATGGAAAATGTGATAAAATGCCTGGGATGTGCTTCAGAATAATCCAGGAGTGGGTAAAGGTACAGGTAAAACTAGATTGGCTGTGAGTTATAATTATTGAAACTAAGTGATGAGTACATGAATGGGCAGTACACTATTCTATATAGCTTTGAATATCTTTGAAATTCTTGATATTAAAAAAAAAAGCCCCCCCAGCTTATAAACCACCAATCTCAAACAATGAGCTCGCGAATTCCCACAGTCCCTAAGAATATGGACACTGTTCTATGCCTTAGGTATTCTATCTCCCAGAATAAACTTTTCATCTCAGCAGTCATTCACTGTTCTTGCCTGTATTGATTTCTTCCTCTGACATGGGTATACTCTCCTACAGATAAACAAAACAATGCAAGAATATTCTCCGCATGGAACTCACAATAACAAATAGATTATCTTTCATTCTTTTGCTTCTCTATCCTTCAGGAAGCTTAGCAAGCTGACATGCAGTTGTCCCTCACCAATCCTATAAATAGGCCCCTTCTATCAAAGCTCTTCACTTAGGACAAAGCCTGGCATGAGAACATGATGATATGCAAGATCACAGGGGCTTAATGGGGAATCAAGAGGATAGGAGGAGAAAGGCAGACTTGATCACGTCAATAATCACATTACAATCTTTATTGACATGCTGCTATTGACAGGAGTATGTGCAATGGAGCATCATGGTTCATTCAAAACTGTGTTGCTTCTTTGTATCCCATTCAATTGCCCAAATTCTGTGCCATTCTGTCTTTGCATAACAAACATTTCTGACTTGCCCCAGTTTCTTTTTCTTCTTTTTTGTCTCACTCTGTCGCCCAGCCTGGAGTGCAGTGGCGTGATCCCAGCTCACTGCAAGCTTTGCCTCCTGGGTTCATGCCATTCTCTTGCCTCAGCCTCCTGAGTAGCTGGGACTACAGGTGCCTGCCACCATGCCCAACTAATTTTTTTTCTGTATTTTTAGTAAAGATGGGGTTTCTTTTTTTTTTTTTTTTTTTTTGACAGGGAGTCTCGCTCTGTTGCCCGGGTTGGAGTGCAGTGGTGTGATCTCTGCTCACTGCAGGCTCCACCTCCCAGGTTCATGCCATTCTCCTGCCTCAGCCTCCTGAGTAGCTGGGACTACAGGCGCCCACCACCACGGCCGGCTAATTTTTTTGTATTTTTAGTAGAGACAGGGTTTCACCATGTTAGCCAGGATGGTCTCGATCTCCTGACCTCGTGATCTGCCTGCCTCGGCCTCCCAAAGTGCTGGGATTACAGACGTGAGCCACCGTGCCCAGCCAGAGACAGGGTTTCACTGTGTGTTAGCCAGGATGGTCTCGATCTCCTTACCTCGTGATCCGCCCGCCTTGGCCTCCCAAAGTGCTGGGATTACAGGCGTGAGCCACCACGCCCGGCCTCCCAGTTTCTTTTTCTTAGGAGATCTATGCAGGAATTGATTCAGGCAAGCAGGACCCTCTGTATAAGTCCCTACCTGTGTCCCGACTGCTCTGAGACATGGAATCATTCTCCACATTATAGATGACTGTCCCCTGAGAATCAGAAGAGAAGTGACTGACCACAGACTCATGGTGGGAATGTTTGTAGGGATAGCTCTCCGTTGAGGAATCTGTTCGAGTGTCACTTGAGATGGAGGGCTCCCTCCCTGAGGGAAGGAGGAAACATATATGCAAAAAGTGAGGAAACAGAACAGTAACAGAGTGAAGGAAAAGAGATGGACACAACAAAGCTCCATAAGGCAAGAACTTCCTAGACACAGGTGTGAGAAGGATATGCTATACCATCGAGCCATTCTTCACAACACCCAACTTCCAGATCACCCAGACACATGTAAAATTCCTCCCATCCCTGTCCCTACCTTGCTGAAGCCCTCACTTTGCCTGCCACTGTGAAAAACTGTGAGGGTTTTACAAAGTCTATCAGGGAAAAAACTGAAGTAATGAAAAAGTTGTGAAAAGTAGGATATATTTAGATGGAAAGTCCCAGGACAACCTGTCATACATAGTCAGTTGTTCTCTTATCCCATAATCTTTCTCCTATACTCCCAAGAACGTCACTTAAAATTTCTGAATGGATATTAGATGCATTTTTAATGTCTCTGAGAAATTATTGGGGCTGTTACTTATATGAAATACATTAGTATAAATTAGTTCAATCAGACTGCTTCCCTCTGAATAGATAGCTGAGATAAGTATAATAGGACAAATGGGTATTTGATTGCAGGGAGAAGAGGTAGAACAGGTCTGGGTGGGGTATGAGAGGTGGAAGAAAGCACCAGGTACCAAGCAGGAGGGAGGTACAAAGGGGAGAAAGAAAGATGTCAAAGTCAAGCATCTTCTCTTTCAAAATTATATTAAGGGCCAGTACCAGATCTAGAAGAGTAAAATAATATTTCTTCTTCCTTTTCAGAAATCAAGCCAAAACTATTAGGTTATACCTCAAATATATTATAAGATTCTGTGGGCTACCCTAGAACTTTAGCCATCAAGCTGAAAATTGTTTTTACAGAAAGTCATTACTTAAGTTCTAAACAATTAACTTAGAAGTGAAAAAGTGATTCATAAGCAGACAAATATCACTACTGGACATGGAATTCCTCCCCCGCCCCCCGCCAAGACAGAGTCTTGCTATTTTGCCCAGGCTAGGCTCAAATTCCAGGTTCAAGTGATCCTCCCACCTCAGCCTCCCAAATAGCTAGGATAACAGGCATGCATCACCCTGCCCAGCTACATATTTGCAATTTTAAAACAAAAATATCTCATGCCAAACAAAATAACTAGCCTTATAGTGGCTCAAATAAAACAACTCAATTAAGTCACTGTTAAATTGCTTATAAAAATCAGCCATCCTCACCAATATTAGAAAGCTAACTATTGAGCCTCGCAAACTTAATATCTCAGTCTAAATAAACAATTTCCTTTTCACTTCTGAGTTGAGGCCAAGTGATTTAAGCAACACTCTTTTGACAACTGAAGGAAATAAAGGCTGGCACAAGTTAGGCTTCAGCACAGATTGGCACTTCTTTCTTACCTCTAATGGATCCTCTTTCTCCAAGCTAGGTTACATGCTAAGGACATAATTAAGTATGAGTCCCAACTGTTTGATCACATGGGGTGGTGAGAAGAGAAGAGAGGTAAAGAGCCAGGCTGCTCACCTGAATCTTCACTGTCGTAGCATGTCCTGCTGTATGAATGGAACTCAGCTTGGGGAGGCAGGTCCTGGGTGGATACTGGGGTACCCTGGGGATCTGCATAAAGCAGCAGCAGGGGCTGATAATGCCCCTTGATGCATTTGGTCACCACATCCTTCCATTTGGGCCCAATCTGAACCAGAAACAACCAAAAGAACAGGACAATTATACTTCATATCCACAATTCACAACATATCTTCCTGTTCTATATTTCTAAAGAAAATAAAAGAGATGAAAAGACAAGAATTGGGTAAAAAGGCAGCAAAAAAGATCTCAGACCTAACACTTTTTTATTAAATCTTTTTTTTTTCCTTTGCTAAGTCCTTTTAGAAAGCACTGAAATCCTATAGGAGAATAAAAGAATGAATAAAATTACTTTTATTTCTGTGAACCATCAACTCAGTTGTAAAATAGGAATAAAAGTTATCAAAGGTGGATATGCTATGTGAGGGAACTTCAGTTGCCTTGGTGACCAATTTCTTTTCACAGACATCAGATTAAAGCCCTCACTAGAAATCTGCATTTCCTTAGTTTTCTCCCAAATATTAAAATCACTTTCATGAAGCTGAAGAGCAGACAGAAACTCTCTCACAGACTGCCTTAGAACAAATGACATTCAGTTTCAGAGTTTGCAAATGGCAGGATATAAAATGTCAAACTGCTTAGAATAGACAACTGAACCTCTCGGCCTTAGCCCTGTGCTGGATTCAGCTCTGTTACCACAGTGGAAAAGTGTAAGAGAACAGCCACGGAATCAATTCAACCCAGTCCTCAAACTCACCCCATCTTAAGCTTGAACCAGTCACATTTCTTAGATAATGTGCCGCTCTTGGGGTTGGACAACTAGCATAGTGGTATGTTAATAATAGATGTCCGGTAAACTTATAACTGAGTTATTATTTTAATTAAAACATTTATATGCTCTTCACATATTAATATAATCATATTTACTACTTTGTAAGGGTATTTTCAAATAAAAACCCTAAATCTAAAAGAATTTATATAAATTGCCCCAAATTACAATAATACAAAAAGAGACAAAGAAAAGAATAAGGGAATTTGACAAACACTTTACTATTTGTGGAAGACACTGCTTAAAGTCTGTGGATTGGTGTAGATTAGTCACACCTTATCTCCTTATCTGCTCACCTTATCACAAGCAGCTTCCTAATGCATGCAGATCACATAAGCCACTTCAATCGCAAATTCTGTAGTTTAGACAGTACCAACTTTCCTGCTTTGTCATTATAACCCTACATGACTTATAACTATCCCAAAACACATGTTACTCTGTGATGGGGCACTTCAGGAAGATAACAAAGAATAATTTACAGCAGCCCTGACACAAAGTAGTACCCACTGGTAACTTTAAGATCTGAAATTCTGAACTTTGTATTAACCTTATAACCTCATTTGAGGCATTAGAGTGTTCCTACTCAAATCAATCAACACACACATTAAAAAAACAAATAACAACAAACAACCATTCCTCTCTGGAGTCCTAGTTTCCAAGAAGACAAAGAAAAGAAAGAACATGGCATGCCAAAAAAGGGCTGCAGCTATGTGCAGCCCATTCACTGCATGAACTGTGCCGGATGCATGCCCAAGGACAAGGCTATTAAGAAGTTTCTCATTCAAGGCCAGGCACAGTGGCTCACATCTGTAATCCCAGCACTTTGGGAGGCTGAGGCAGGTGGATCACTTAATGTCAGGAGTTAGAGACCAGCCTGGCCAACATGGAGAAACTCCTTCTCTATTAAAAATACAAAAATCAGCCAGGCGTGATGGTGCACACCCGTAAGCCCAGCTACTTGGGAGGCTGAGGCACAAGAATCACTTGAGCCCGGGAGGCAGAGGTTGCAGTGAGCCAAGATCATGCTCCTGCACCCCAACCTGGGTGACAGCGCAAGACCCTGTCTAAAAAAAAAAAAAAAAGTTTCTCATTCAAAACATAGTAAAGGCTGCAGCTGTCAAAGACATTTCTGAAGTAAACTTATTTGATGCCTATGTGCTTCCTAAGCTGTATGTAAAGCTACATTACTATGTGAATTGTGCCATTCACAGCAAGGTAATCAGTAATCAATCTCCCCAAGCCCAAAAGGTGCTAACATCCCCACCCAGATTTAGACCTTCGAGTGCTGACCCATGAACCCCACCAAAGCCCACATAAGGAGCTGACTCCTCAGGACTGAAGAAAAACTATTTTCTAGGAAAAAAAAAAAAAAAAAGGAGATTATACTTTCAAAAAAATACTTTGGGCCAAGCACTGTGGCTCACGCCTGTAATCCCAACACTTTGGCAGGCTGAGGAGGGAGGATCACTTGAGCCCAGGAGTTCCAGACCAGCCTGGGTAACATCTCTAAAACAAACAAAAAATTTTAACTAGCTGAGTGTGGTGACCACACACCTGCAGTTGCCGCTACTCAGGAGACTAAGGTGAGAGGATTGCTTGAACCTGGAAGATAAAGGCTGCAGTGAGCCATTATCATGCCACTGCACTCCAGCCTGGGTAATAGAGTGAGAAGACCCTATCTCAAAAAACAAAATAAAATACTTTGTCACCTATAAATACAAAACTGCTGAATGCCTGGTGAGGGGATTCAGAGGATATAATAGAAGATACACTGTTCCTATCCTCGAAGAACTAGCCATCTTCAGGGGAAGACAAGATGATACCTTCATAAATTCAACAGGCAGACAGATATAAAAATATAAAATACTTCAGGCACGGTGGTTCATGCCTATAATTCCAGCACTTTGGGAGGCTGAGGCAGGCGAATCACAAGGTCTGGAGTTTGAGACCAGCCTGGCAAACATAGTGAAACTCTATCTCTACTAAAAATACAAAAATTAGCCAGGTGTGGTAGCATGCACATGTAGTCCCAGCTACTCAGGAGGCTGAGGCAGGAGAATCGCTTGAACCCAGGAGGCAGAGGTTGCAGTGAGCCGAGACCAAGCTATTGCACTCCAGCCTGGGTGACAGAGTGAGACTCTATCTCAAAAATAAATAAATAAATAAATAAATAAATAAATAAAATAAAATATATAATACATTTTATGGAAATGTGGGGAGGTCCCATTCGAAATTATGAAAATGAAACACTAAAGACAAATAATTATTCTTTTTTTTTTTTTGTAGTCACCAAACACTTCAAAAAGAGCTTGACTATTCCTACCTCCTTAACATGAGCATCATCAAAATACATCCATTTGCGAATCTTTGTTTGAAAAAAGAATGTAGAATAATGTTTGCCATAGTAACAGATCATTCCTACTAAGTACAGTTCAGATTGCTTGGCCCGGTCATCTGTCACTCTGAAAAACAGCTGGGGGGAAAGAAGAGAAAAGAAAGTACAGTCACATATTCAGCCCTCCCACATCATCTCTCAGCAGACTCCATCGACATTTCTTAAGTAAAGTACTGACTTGCTTCTCTTCCCTTCAGTTTAAGGTTTTTGTTAGTTTAGATTAATCATCAGAACTTAACTTTAGCACTTTGTGAGGCCAAAGTAAGAGAATTACTTGAGGACAGGAGTTCGAGAACAGCCTAGACTAGATAGCAAGACCCTATCTTTAGGCCCAGCATGGTGGCTCACGCATGTAATCCCTACACTTCGGGAGGCCGAGGCGAACAGATCTCTTGAGGGCAGCCTGGCCAACATAGTGAAACCCCATCTCTACTAAAAATACAAAAATCAGCTGGGCGTGGTGGTGCACGTCTATAATCCCAGCTACTTGGGACGCTGAGGCAGGAGAATCACTTGAACCCGGGAGGCAGATTGCAGGGAACCAAGATCATGACACTGCACTCCAGCCTGGGCAACAGAGTGAGACTCCATCATAAAAAACAAAACTAAACTAAACAAAAACACCCTATTTTTACCAAAAAAAATTTTAATTAGCCAGGTGTGGTAAGTGCACACTTAAGTGCTAGCTGTTCAGGAGGCTGAGGTGGGAGGATCCTTTGAGCCCAGGAGTTCGAAGCTGCAGTAAGCTACAATTGTGCCATACTCCACTCCAACCTGGGTGGCAAATCAAAAACCTCTCTAAAAAAATAATTCTTTTAACTCAAAAAAAAAAAAAAAATTGACCAGACATGGTGGCTCATGCCTGTAACCCCTACACTTTGGGAGGCGAAGCCAAGAGGATCACTTGAGCCCAGCAGTTCAAGACCAGCCTGGAGAACGAAGCCAGATCCTGTCTCTACAAAAAATAAAAAATTAGCTGGGCATGGTGGTGCACACCTGTAGTCCCAGCTACTCAGAAAGCTGAGGCAGGAGGATCACTTGAGCCCAGGAAGTCAGTGCTACAGTGAGCTATGTTTGTCCCACTATACTCCAGCCTAGATGACAGAGCAAGACCCTGTCTCAAAAAAAGAAAAAGAAAGAAAGAAAAAAATTAACCTAAACAGACAAAAAGTAAGGAAAAGCAAGACAGACAGTGACCAGTAAACTGGTATGGTGATGATCTTTCTTCATATCTTTCAATAATTTTCTTATCAGGGCCTATCATAAGAGGAGCCAGGAAAGTTGGATTAAAAAAAAAACAACAACCGGCCAGGTGCAGTGGCTCACACCTGTAATCCTGGCACTTTGGGAAGCCAAGGTGGGCAGATCACCTGAGGTCAGGAGTTTGAGACCAGCCCGACCAACATGGGGAAACCCCGCCTCTACTAAAAATACAAAAAAATTAGCCGGGCGTGGTGGCGGGCGCCTGTAATCCCAGCTACTCGGAAGGCTGAGGCACGAGAATTGCTTGAACCCAGGAGGTGGAGCTTACAGTGAGCCAAGATCGTGCCACGGCACTCCAGCCCCACGACAAAGCGAGACTCCCATCTCAAAAAAAAAAAAAAAAAAAAAAAAACAGGCTGGGTGTGGTGGTTCGCATCTGTAATTCCAGCACTTTGGGAGGCCGAGGTGGAGGACCACGAGGTCAAGAGATCGAGACCATCCTGGCCAAAATGGTGAAACCACGTCTCTACTAAGAATACAAAAATTAGCTGGGAGTGGTGGCGCACACCCGTAGTCCCAGCTACTCAGAAGGTTGAGGTAGGAGAATCTCTTGAACCCGGGAGGTGGAGGTTGCAGTGAGCCGAGATCGTGCCACTGCACTCCAGCCTGGCACAGAGCGAGACTCCCTCTCAAAAAACAAACAAACAAAACAAAACAAAACAAAACCCTGTCTACCTGCCTACTTTCAAAAGTTTTTTTTATCAGCTGATCCCACAAATAAAATTTTCTTGTTAATAACCTAAGTAGAGCAATACAGCCATGCTCGTTATCAGCATTTCAATTCCTAGCTGCCCAACACAGTCCTAAGAGCTAAGAGACATATTTAAAAAAAAAAAAAAAAAAATTGAAGGAAAGGATTCTGGCCTTGAGGAACCTATTTGGTTGAAAAAACAATCATGAAAATTAAACCTTGAGCTTCAAGTTAGTGATTAAAAAAAAAAAAAAAAAAGGAACAGTACAGAATATGTAGGTCACAGAAATTTAGAATAAATAATTGTTTTTGATGCCAGGCGCGGTGGCTCACGCCTGTAATCCCAGCACTTTGGGAGGCTGAGGCGGGCAGATCATGAGGTCAGGAGATCTAGACCATCCTGGCTAACACAGTGTAACCCCGTCTCTACTAAAAACACAAAAAATTAGCCAGGTGTGGTGGCGGGCACCTGTAGTCCCAGCTACTGGGGAAGCTGAGGCAGGAGACTGGCATGAACCTGGGAGGCGGAGCTTGCAGTGAGCAGAGACTGCGCCACTGCACTCTAGTCTGGGCGACACAGTGAGACTTCATCTCAAAAAAAAAAAACAAAAAAGAAATGATTGTTTTTGTTTTTAAGAGACAGGGTCTTGACATGCTGCCTGGGCTAGAATGTAGTGGCTATTCACAGGCAGGATCATTGCACACTAAAGCCTTGAACTCCTTAAGCAATCCCCCCACCTCAACCTCCTGAGTAGCTAGGTCTACAGGTAGGCGCTGGTGAAAAATGGAGATTTTTTTGTGCACAGCCTACTCAAGTAAGATTCCTTTGGAAGAAAACCTAAAATAAGATCCCAGAAAGTTCATTTATTCTCAATCATGGCTTAATGACATTAAAAAACAGTAACGAAGGCCCTCTTCAGTCACAAGATTATCCCAGACATTGGTTCCACACTGTGAATTTCGTATTTTTGGGCTCAGGTCACCAACTTTTAACTTCTTCACCTACTATACCAGTTCTAGTCAGGAATGCCCCTCTTTGGACCTTACTGCCTCCCATGGTTGAATACCCTTCCCTACTCTATACTCATATAAACTAACAATAAATAGAACATACAATAACTCTTTGAATTACTGATTTATTTTTATCAGTAGCTAAGCTCTGCCTACCCTGTCTTTCAAGGCCAAGTCATCCCATTTCTTCTTAAAAAACCTTTGCCACCTATAAAAGGAGGTATATGAACACATACCTGCATGCACGGGTATCTGTACACAAATAAACAAGTTTATCTGTCCAAAACATTATAATACTTGTCATCTAGGACATACCTGTTTGTCTAGTGCTCACTGCTCCTAAGCAATACTAAGACACAAGAACTCAAAGTGAGAGATAAAGGTAACTAACACGCACATCACCCAGCTTAAGGCAGGTTCCCAGGCTGTGGATAACATCTTCTGCTAAGTCTGAGTGGTCTGAGTCCCATACCAGCCCAATCGTGATAATCTGTGGAGCATTCATCAACACACGGCGAATCCTGATCCTCTCTCCACAGTTGCTCTGAAATACACATACAAGGCTAGTTCAACATGTTTCTCACTGGCTTTGCCTCAATCCCACTGATCGACGGTTCCCTTTCCCACTCCAAGCCCCACCCCTGATTTAACTCACTGGACAGTTCCGCAGATCCCCCATGGTGCTGGCATTCTGCAGCAGCTCACCAAACATGCTTGGTGAAGGTTTCTCTCGTCTTTCCAGCATACAAATAGCCTGATTGCTTCGAGATGGGGAATAGAAGGGGAATGATGATTTGTACTTAGTTACTGCTAAATCAAACATTAATGTAAATTCCTAACTCACACGTTTGACTTTCTTCCTCTGCCCACTATACCAAAGCCCCTGACCAGGCTCAGTGTCCCATAAACACAGTGAGTACCTCTACCTGTCCCAAATCCAAAGCTCATAGAATCCCCACTCCTCCTCCCACTTTGCTTGCCAGTACTGAGCCTAAGAAATGGGGAGGGATGGGAGAGGAAAGGAGAACAAAAGTTATTTTTAAATTACTGTTCTCCATTCCTACAATATAGCACAGACTCAGCAATGAGGATATAAAACTATTTGTGTTTTTGGTGGTGGTGGTGGTTTTTTTGAGACATGGTCTCGCTCTGTTACCCAGGCTGGAGTGCAGGGGCTCAATCTCAGCTCACTGAAACCTCTGCCTCCTGGGTTCAAGTAATTCTCATGCCTCCGCCTCCAGAATAGCTGGGATTACAGGCACATGCAACCACGCCTAGCTAATTTTTGACATTTTTAGTAGAGACAAGGTTTTGTCATGTTGGCCAGACTGGTCTCAAACTCTTGGCCTCAAGTGATCTGCCCACCTGGGCCTCCCAAAGTGCCAGGATTATAGGCATGAGCCACCATGCCCGGCCAGGATACAAAACTATTTGAATGCCTTCAATTAAAGTTCAATAGGCCAGGCACCATGGCTCACGCCTGTAATCCCAGCACTTTGGGAGGCCAAGGCAGGTAGATGATTTGAGGTCAGGAGTTCAAGACCAAGCCTGACCAACGTGGTAAAACACCGTCCTACTAAAAATACAAAAAAATTAGCGGGGTGTGTACTATTTGTGGAAATAGCTGGAAGTCTCAGCTACTTGGGAGGTGGAGGCAGGAGAATCACTTGAAAACGGGAGGCGGAGGTTGCAGTAAGCTGAGATTACGCCACTGCACTCCAGCCTGGGCGACAGAGTGAGACTCTGTCTCCAAAAAAAAAAAAAAAAAAATGTCCAATCAACTAGAGGAATGCCTAAAGGCACAACAGAAAATCTGGAAAGACTCACCAAAGGGAAGTGGTGGAGATATAATGTACCATCTGGATGAAAGGCAGCGGATCAGAAGTGGCACCACAGCTAGTACAAACACACTGGGCCAAAGAGAAAAAGGCAAAACCAAGCAACCATAGTCAGGAACTGTTTTGGCACCCATTTAACACCCCACATCCCAGGATAAAGTGTTCTTGAACAAAGGTCAAAAAAAAGATGGAGCTAGAGTTCACCTGCTCAAACAATGTCATTGCAAATTTCTGATGGGAAATGCAGTGTTGGGCAGTACATATATCCTCTTTGGTTTCATCAGCAATGTGGAAGTGAATTCTCATCAGGAGGTTTTCCTGACAGTGAAAGAACAAAAGCAGTACACCAACAATATTTAACAGACAAATACATAAATTGGTAAGCAGCTTACCCAGAGAAACAGTAACCTTTCTGGAAAGAAGGAATATTTTGATTTTTTTTACTTTTTAGTTTAAAATAATTATAAATTCATAGCGAATTTCAAAAATGTACAGGAGGCTGGGCGCGGTGGCTCAAGCCTGTAATCCCAGCACTTTGGGAGGCCGAGACGGGCGGATCACGAGGTCAGGAGATCGAGACCATCCTGGCTAACACGGTGAAACCCCATCTCTACTAAAAAATACAAAAAACTAGCCGGCAAGGTGGCGGGCGCCTGTAGTCCCAGCTACTCAGGAGGCTGAGGCAGGAGAACGGCGTAAACCCGGGAGGCGGAGCTTGCAGTGAGCTGAGATCCGGCCACTGCACTCCAGCCTGGGCGACAGAGCAAGACTCCATCACAAAAAACAAAAAAAAAAAATGTACAGGAGATCCCCCGTATCCTTCACCGAGCTTCCTCCAACAGTAACATCTTTTTCTTTTTCTTTTTTTTTTTTTGAGATGAGTCTCGCTCTGTCGTCCCAGCTGGAGTGCAGTGGCTCGATCTCAGCTCACTGCCAGCTCCGCCTCCCGGGTTCATGCCATTCCTCTGCCTCAGTCTCCCAAGTAGCTGGGACTACAGGCGCCCACTACCACACCCGGTTAACTTTTTGTATTTTTAGTAGAGACGGGGTTTCACCATGTTAGCCAGGATGGTCTCGATCTCCTGACTTCATGATCTGCCCGCCCCAGCCTCCCAATGTGCTGGAATTACAGGTGTGAGCCACCATGCCCGGCACATCTTTGATAACTATACCAGGAAATGGACATTGATAGAATCCAGACTTTATTCAGATTTCACCAGTTTTACATGCATTCATTTGTGTGTGAGTATGTATAGCTCTGTGCCATTTTATCAAGATATAGACCAGTTCCATCACAAGGCTCCCTCATGCTAGCCATTTAGAGCCTTACCTGTCCAAACCCAACTCTAACCTGTAGAAATCACTAATGTCTTCTCTCATCTCCATCATTTTATTTCAAGAACGTTATATAAATGGGATCATATACCACATAACCTTTTTTTTTTTTTTTTTTTTTGAGACACAGTCTGGCTCTGTCACCCAGGCAGGAGTGCAGTAGTGATCTCAGCTCACTGCAACCTCTACCTCCCAGGTTCAAGCGATTCTCGTGCCTCAGCCTCCTGAGTAGCTGGGATTACAGGTATGCACCACCATGTCTGGCTAAGTTTTGTATTTTTAGTAGAGACAGCATTTCACCATGTTGACCAGGCTGTTCTCGAACTCCTGACCTCAAATGATCCGCCCACCTTGGCTTTCCAAAGTGCTGGGATTATAGGAGTGAGCCACCGCGCCCAGGCCAGCATATAACCTTTTGATATTGCATTTTACACTTAGCGTAATTCCCTTGAGATCTGTCCAAGTTGTGTAAATAAATAGTTTATTTTTATTTTTATAAAAATACTTAATGCTTTGTATTGCTACATAGTTCTTCACGGTACAGAAGTACTATCTTTTGTTTAGCCATCTACTCACTGAAGGACATTTGGGTTGTTTCCAGTTTTTTACTATTATGAATAACACTTCTATGAACATTCATTAACAGGTTTTGTTTTAATATAAGTTTTCGTTTCTGTGGGATACATGTCCAGAAATGTAATTGCTAGATCATATGGTACTTTACATGTCTAGCTTTTTAAGAAACTGTCAAACTGTTTTCCAGAGTAGCTATACTGCTTTACATTCCCACAAGTAATATATCAGTGATGCAGTTCCTCAGGAGCACCTCTGATTTCGGGCCACATTTTATCCTGTGATGAGATATATATCACTGTTAAATTTTCTTTTCTTTTTTTTTTTCTTTTTTTTTTTTTCTGAGACAGAGTCTCGCTGTGTCGCCCAGGCTGGAGTGCATTGGTGCAATCCAGGCTCACTACAACCTCCTCCTCCCAGGTTCAAGTGATTCTCTTGCCTCAGCCTCCCAAGTAGCTGGGACTATGGGCACCCACCACCATACCTGGCTAATTTTTGTATTTTTAGTAGAGATGGGGTTTCACTATGTTGGCCAGGCTGGTCTTGAACTCCAGACCTTGAGATCCACCTGCCTTGGCCTCCCAAAGTGCTGGGATTAGAGGTGTGAGCCACTGTGCCCAGCCTCAAATTTTCTAAATGGATGTACAGAGAGTCTTTTGAAGGCTGACGGATAGAACACAGAGTTCAGAAGAGTGAGGGGCACTGGGGGCAATGTAGCTATCTATCTAGCACATCACACTTATGCCAGGGACTCAGTTATTCCCTGATTAATTATCTTTAGAAATGGAGGAGCAGCATCAGTATCAGCATTACTTAGGAACCTGTTAGATACAGATATTCAGAGACCCCTCCACTAGGCCTACTGTATCAGAAGCTCTGGGGGTACAGCCCAGCAATTTGTATTTTAACGAGCCTTGGATCCTCTGAAGGTGAAAGCTGATATTTTACGCAATGACAAGCACAAAACCACCAGCCTAAAGGAAAAATAATAACACACTGCTATAATAGAGACATTTTAGATCCCTGAAAAATACAGTTCTAACTGTAGAGATAACGACACAGTAAATTCCACCATAAAGTAGCCAGTCCCTGATGGAGACCATCAGCAGCCCCACCCCATATCAAAAAGGGCCAGAGGCCAGCACTTACAAAGCACTCTGCAGCATCATCCATAATTCCCAGCTGGAAACGTTGTTCATCCTGGAAAGTCTTTGCCAGAGCACTGCGGAGAGTGTCAGATGGAAGCACTTTTTCACTACTACACTGAAACTGGTTAAAGATTCCCTGTAGGGAAGAGGTTAGACAAGAGAAAAAGTGCAATGCTGTTATTAAACTAGTATACATCCTAGTCTGTCATGCTAGCATCTCCATGATGATAGCTATGAAACCAAATGTGCTTCCCATGGGTTGACATGCTTGCAGTTAGTAATTAAAAATAAAATCAAGAGTCAGAATGAAGGGCATGATCTGTGCTAATACATATCCTCATTCCTTCATCTGAGTGTGATGCCAAGGACACATTAGGAGAAACCACTGTCATGAATTAATGTAATGCAGTTACCTCATTTCTTCTTCCTCTAATACAGACAGAAGTAGATGGGTTAGGTAAAAAAAGAAAAAATACATATAAACATATCAACAAATTATTTTCTGGGGGTTCATCCTATGAATCTTGACCCCCTTTCTTTTAAAATTTTCAGCTAATATAAAATTACCGAAAAGTACAAAGACTAATACAACAAAAATCTGTGAGTCTAATACCCAGAAATAAACATTCTATCATGTTTACTTTCATCTACAGATAATGCCAAAGTCCTGTTTAAGACTGCCCCACTCTCTACCAGCCACTCATATCATAAATTTTTTGTATAATCTTGTTTTTAATAGTTTTATATATATATCCCTAAATAATACATAGGATACTTTTGTGTATATTTGTGGGTTTTTTGTTTAGTTGGTTTTTTGTGTGTGCTTTTGTTGTCTTTTTTTGAACAGGGTCTTGCTTTGTCACACAAGCTGGAGTGCAGTGGCATGAACATGGCTCACTGCAGCCTCAATCTCCTGAGTAAATGGGACTACAGGCATGCACCACCACACACCGCTAACTTTTCAACTGTTTTGTAAGAGATGGGGTCTCACCATATTGTCCAGGCTGGTCTCAAACTCCTGGGCTCATGCAATCCTCTCACCTTGGCCTCTAAAAGTGCTGGGATTACAGACATGAGTCACTGCGCCCAGGCCTATTAGTATTAATAGGCTGAGGCAAGAGAATGACGTGAACCTGGGAGGCGGAGCTTGCAGTGAGCCAAGATTGCACCTCTGCACTCCAGCCTGGGCAACAGAGCAAGACTCCAATTCAAAAAAAAAAAATTGTTTTCCCATTCTGCCCTCTCACTAGCACCTTTCCTCCTCATACATACTGAATATCTACTCCTGCAGCAGCTCAAGAACAGATTACTGTGTAACCTGCTATTATGTTCCTACAAATGTCTCCATATGATGTGGGGGAGGCAGTGCCAGCAATACATATTTAGTATTCTTTAATTAGCTGTGAGGGAAATCTGTTATAATTACTCCACATTATTTTGGCTCAACCTAGAAATTTATATACAAGTCCATTATAAGGTCAAGGAAAGGCAGGGCAGGGCCTTCCATAATTTGTTACTGGAAGGGGAAGAATGTCTATTAGTAACCTCTTAAACTAGACCAAAAGGAATGATCTAGGTCCACAGTTAAATAATTGGATATGTGTCCAGTGACCCATGGGATTTTGAACCTTTGGAGAAATAAGGAGAAACAAAGGAAAAGGAAGGGGGGAAAAGCAGTGACTGCTTTTACAAATTGCATAGTGGCCTGATGACATCATGATTTGTTGAAAGAAGGTCAATCCAGCTTGGCAAAACTTAGTGACCACTATTACATCCCAGCCTGTTGCTCTTCTCAATTGTTACTGGTAAGAAATTACTGCTGACATAGGCTCTATTGCAGAACAAAGGATGGATGAGGTTTGGTCCTTTGTTCAAAATCCAAAATTGTTTCCAAAACAAACCAATAGGAAATTATTTCCAGGATATTCTATACAAATCTGAAATTTATAAACTCCGGCCCCTTTAGTCTTCTTCAACTGGATTTCCTCAAGAATTAAGCCCTAATACTCTAGGGCCTTAACTGTTCCTAACGAAATAGCAATTCTCCTATGCATAGCACTAGCTATATGCCATCTTGGAGAGAATTAAGAAAATAGTCACTCTAATCACTTTCTGTGTTCTGTGGTTCTCAGATGACCCTGTTTGAGAAAAGTCAGGACTCTACTCAGAGATGGTATGGTGTAATAGTTAACAGACTGGATTCTGGAGCTAAAATGGGTTCAAAATCTCAACCCTGATACTTCAGCTATATGATCTTGGGTAAGTTATTTAACTTCTTTAGGCCTCAGTTTCTCTTTTAAAAGGGAGTTTAATAACAGCATTTACACCAGCCTGACCAATATGGTGAAATCCCATCTCTACTAAAAATGCAAAAATTAGCCAGGTGTTGTGGTGAGTACCTGTAGTCCCAGCTACTCGGGAGGCTGAGACAGGAGAACTGCTTGAACCTAGGAGGCGGAGGTTGCAGTGAGCCGAGATCGTGCCACTGCACTCCAGCCTGGGCAATAGAGCAAGACTCCGTCTCAAAAAAAAAAAAAAAAAAAACAGTATTTACTGCCTAGGGTTATTTGAGGATTAAATGAGTACACACACACACACACACACACACACACACACACACGTATATGTAAGATATATATCAGCCGAGCGTGGTGGCCCACGCCTGTGATCCCAGCACTTTGGGAGGCTAAGTCGGGAGGATTACCTAAGGTCAGGAATTCGAGATCAGCTTGGCCAATATTGTGAAACTCTATCTCTACTAAAAATGCAAAAATTAGCCAGGTGTGGTGGCAATCACCTGTAATCCCAGCTACTCGGGAGGCTGAAGTGGGAGGCTGAAGCAGGAGGCTGCAGTGAACTGAGATCACTTGTACTTCAGCTTGGGTGACAAAGCAAGACTCCGTCTCAGGAAAAAGAACAAACAAAAAAGGATATAAATGTATATATCTTAGACTAATCCTTGTCAGTGTGATAAATGCTAAATGTTAGGTATTATTATTATTATTCTATTTAGGAGTCATTTCAGGTTGCTAAAGAGCCTGTCACTGTCCTATGCTGAAAGAAGGGATCTGAGTCAGATGCTTCTACCTTGAGCTACTTCCTCAGTCACTGAGATCTGAGTAGGCAGAACTACACTTTTTCCTATTCTCTATTCTGTTTCTCCCATTCAAAGGAGGCATATTTCCCATGACCTAGATAACGAGGGTTTCAGTACAGAAAGGGAAAGGTCTTAAGGTCAGAGCTCTGACTGCACCCAGAGCGGGTCTGTAACAATAGATCTGGCTCCTCAGTTCAGTGGTATCAACGTCACTATGATATAATCTTTTCTCACCTCTTAATTACAGGCAGCCTTCCTCATACACACTGAGAATCTGAATGCATTCAGAATGGCCTCTGACTACATCTTCTTTATTCTCTTATTTAAATTATTGTTGTCAGTCTTGCTCTGCTATTGTTAGGAAGAAGCAAGTGTATTAGGGGTAAAGCTGACTGAGCCCGCCCAGCATGCATCTGTGGAGCTCTGGAAGAAGCTGTAGTACAAAGCCCCTCTGTTAGAGCAGCACACTAACCTCTGTGTGTCCCTCTCACATGAGCACAGGGACTGGAATGGGCCTCCTCCCGTTCTCTTTTTCACCCTCCTCCCACCTTTCCCAGAGGGAGATCCTGTTCACACCAAAGAAAGCCAAGAACATTTAGTTCAGCAGTAAGAACAGGTGGCAGCACCAATAAGGAACAAAAACTGGTATTCTTCCAATTGCTGAATTCTATGACAGGCAAGGAGAAAGGGCAGGAAGAAACAAAACCCAAGAATCACTTTTCCTGTGGGGTCCCTGATGGTTCCATTTCAACAAGTAGAGAAAATCCACCTTGGAGTTTCTCTCTGCTCTTCTTCACAGGGTGAAACCAAAGAGGTCTTCCTTTTCATTCTCAGGAAAACGCAAATCACTTTTTGTCTGTTAACTAGTTTCTTGGATGCAGTACAAAAGCAACAAGACTTTAATGACTAAAAGCAGGTGCTTCCCCACCCCCTCTCTTGATTAAGCAGCAAACAATTCTATCCACATAAGCACATAATTATTTGGATTAGTAAAAACCACGTAAGTAAGAAAGAAGTGCCATAAAAACAGAAAGTCTTTGTGCTTCGGCATCTACAAATGCAGCTGTTGCTTAAGTATTTTTTCCCCTAAAACAGACTCTTGTCTTTAAGTGGGAAACAGCCGTTTTTTTCTCTCTCAGGATTTCCTAGTCTTATATCTAAAAGAAGTCATGAGTAAAGAAGGTGAGGATTAAGGAGAAAGGTTGTCACTAATTTTGGTGCTTTTTGAGCTCAAGGTCTTTGGAAAGTGCTCCAGTAGGCAGCCCACTTCATCCCTGCAATACCTTCTGCAAAGGTGTGACAAACTTTACACCCTGCCATTAACTCTTTTCTTAGGGTTTCTCTTCTCGATCTGGACTTCCCAAATCACTCATCATTTTGGCTCTCATAATCACTACTTTCGCTACATCTCCAGGGAATCACAGAACTTAATTGGCCAGTCTGGCTTCTTTGTAAACACTACCCTCTGTAAGTAAGTTAAGGGAGCTAGTCCTTGAGGATCACTGACTACTGGAAAAGAGAACGTTCACTTGGTTTTGTGTATTCAAAAGAATGTTGAAAGTTGTCTTTCAAGAGGGGAGAAACATTTTACCCTTTTGGCATCCTAAAATAACACAGGATTTTAACATTTTATTGTAGAAAACTTCAAACATATAAGGTAGACAGAAGAGCTAAATCAACCCCTTTTATTTATCATTCAACTTCAACAATTACCAACCTGTGGCCAATCTTATTTCATCTATACCACCCACCCACTTACTCTCAGATCATTTTGTAACAAGTGCCAAACATTTTTCATTTATAAATATTTCAAAATATATCTCTAAAAAATAAAAACGGTTTCTCTGAAACATAACCATAAGGCTGGGCACTGTGGCTCACACCTATAATCCCAGCACTTTGGGAGGATGGCTTAAAGCCAGGAGTTTGAGACCAGCCTGGGCAACAAGGCAAGACCTTGTTTCTACAAAAAAAAAAAAATAACTGGGTGCAGTGGCATACACCTGTAGTCTCAGCTACATAGTTGGCTGAGGTGGGAA